AATTTTTGACCTCCCGGATGTTTGAAAATCAAGGATTACGAGTCTCATACTGCACCGTTTTTCTTCAAACTTGTTCCATTCAAAGCATAACAAAAATCCCTTTCTGATGGTACATTATTCTCTTAAACAGAGTCCCTACTTCCAGCGGCATTTTGGTCCCCAGTTGTAAGAAGGTCTTCAAACAGCTGGGGACCAAAACGCTGCTTTACAATAAAGTAATGCACCGGCAGAAAGGCAATTTTGTTCTGCTTTTAATGGTATAAGTTTGAAGAAAAACGGTGCAGTATGAGACTCGCAATCCTTGATTTTCAAGCACCTGGTAGGCCAAAAATTCAAATTAACGGTCGAAGTTAGGACCGCGTGTCAATATTATAGTTATACAAAGGATTTTTGGGTTGATTTTAAAAAAGTATTCAAAAATTAAAACAAAATCCCCCAAAATAGATAAAAATCAAGATAAACCCTTTATTTCATTTAAACAAGATACTTTTTTAAAATCAACCCAAATTTCCTTTGTACAATTACAATATTGAGAGACGACCTAAACGTGTTATGGTTATGTCGTTTTGTTCCAATAAGGTTAGGAAAGATGTTTCATTTCACTCTGGAAACATGATACCAAGAACAAAAACAAGTGCTTGATGTGTTTTCTAAAACAATATAGATGAAAGTATATGTACATTTTTCAAATTATATTGTTACCAATCAAAAGATGACCATTAAATTGACGATGTGTTAAATTTTCAGATTTTTTTATGACTGGTTTAAGAGAAACGTGTGTCCAAAAAGTTCTCCATATCGATACCACTCGACTCCTTTACCGTTTTAAAGCCTTCGTGTCGATGGTAGAATATTTATCTATATAATGAATAGAAAGATACTTTCATTGATTGATGTACAAAGGTAATTTAATCTAGATACTCTTGCAAAAATGCAGAATGAAAATCGAATCGAATACGAATACGAGCCGCTATTTCTGACAACGGTAACTGACTAAATAATCGTTGTCAGGGCGTTCCGGTGTGAGTCTGGCCTATTTAGTCAAACATTAGAGAGTAAGCTTGCAACGTTTTTAACAACCTTAACGCGAACGGAAAATATTTAAGCGATGTATTTGTATGGGCGATTGGTCACACGTATAGGTTGGCGTTTCAATGTTATTTACATGGTAGCTTAAACATCCTAAAGTCCAAAGCCTTCTCTTTATTCCGGCTGTAGATAAAAACTCAAGTTTAAATCAAACACGTTTTACATTGGATGTGTTATTTGAGGGCTTTTAGTCATGAAAAGTTACTTCTAAAGAGATTCCTTTTATATTGAACATTGATAATTGAATGTAAATTTAAAATGATAACATACACGTATATCGTTAAAGTGCGTCACTTTAATAAAGAGTACCATGAAGTAAAATTACTGCGATTGGCGTTGATAAACTATAAAAACACAATTCCCGACTGGCGCCATATAACCCTCCTCCAAGAAGGTTTTGGAAAACATACATGCATACCAGGTTTAGATATATATTGTACTCGTGTTTTTATATCGCAACCTCGGAAAATTAGAAGTTCGATAAAGTGAATGTATTCTTTTCGATATTGCACATCATATTTTTGAGAAACCATTAGCTGTTTACCGTGTTAACCGCTTGAAGCTGAACACTCTTCATCCAACAATGGATTAATATGCTAAAAATAAACCAATGTTGATTGTCTAACCAGGTTAAAAGGAAGAATCAATCATGTTTTAGATATTATTGTACCATGGGTTTCTCTGAAAACTAAGATTTTGAAATGCATTTTTCTCTGAACCATTTTCATGCATTGATGAGTTCATTTCTCGCACATTAATGAACCAATTTTCTTAATTTATTAGGCAAAAACATGTGAGGATGAATGCTATGCATTGGTATTAATTATCGCTTATTAAATTATATGTGTGAACTCTAAAAGTAAGTTTTAAATAAATTCTCCATTTTTCGAACAAAAAGTCCTTAAAAACTAATTTTTGAAATAAAAAAAAGTTTCATATATCACACTTTGATGGTATTTGGTAAGACTAAATATAGCCAATGTGGTTTAAACTTCATAAGGGGGCTTTTTAACAGGAAAATGGCACATGGTAAGATGTGACAACGGACTATGGATGTATTGCATTGGAACAAAGGAAAATGACAACATGAACTAAGCACTTTACCGTTGTCTTAACCGTTTTCAGACAATACCGTTGTCATCCCGATTTTACAGCATATTAGTATATAAAAGGATTTATTTGTACTGATGCCGTAATAGGGCCAAGCGTACATCAAAAAAATTACAATAAAACTATTTAAAAGAAAACATGGTACAGACATGTTTGACCCACATTTCCGTTGTCATTTATACAGCATCTGTTGTCCTGTGTCAAATTTTGATCGGTAAAATAAAAGTCTTTATTTCGATTTAACTATATGATGAATGGGAAGACACTTTTTATGATTGTTGTATCGAAGGAATTTAATCTATTAAAAATGCAGTTAATGAAAATCAAATCGAATATGAACCCGAGCCGCTATTTGTGACAACTGTATCTGACTTTTCCGTTTTCAGGGTGTTCTGGTGTGAGTCTAGCCTATTTAGTCAAACACGTTTTACACTGAAAATTGACGTTGATAATCTATAAAAAGACAATTCTCGACTGGCACCATAGGTCCCATCGCCAGGAAGGTATGGGTGACCATCTAGCTAATATATTTTCATCCTTTGAACGGCGTTAAAGATTACGTAGAACGTCGTTCAATCGACCTAATGTCGACACATGTCAATGTATTTGGTGCAAAAAGTTAATTTTTTGCTGACTTAATCGAGCTATTTTGACACTCCAGTACTTTGAAATATGATAGGTTGTTATCTTATACGTAATTAACGTGTTGTCTTATATTAGTTCTTGAGGGCACTTTTAAATAATTCTTAATGGCATTCAAAGTCATTCTTATGGCATTGGAAATCATTTTTAGCCGGCGCCATTTTTACGAATAATATCTATTTGTCATTAGTTTTTTTATCTTCATGTGGATGTTGCATCTAAGAAAAAATGATCTGTTGCGTTAGAGTCAACGATAAAAGTCAAGTGAAAACTTTCCAGGTTGCAATTTTACCCCGGTTATTCGGTTAATGTCGTACTAATCGCAAAAACAGGAACATTTATAAAGCCATATGAAAAGTCAACTCTTCTAATCCTCAAGTGTAAACTCGGTGCTATTCGGAGCCATAAAACACGCGTGTAAAAACCCCACTTAAAATGGTTGCACGCTTTTTATTCTCGTATATGATTTGAATAGAAGTTTAAAAAACATACTAGTAGCATATATTCATGTGTTTATATCGCAAACTCAGAAGTTAAACCGAAACTTAGAAGTTCAGTTAAGGGAATGTATTCTTTTCGAAATTGCACATCATATTTTGAGAAAGCATTAGCTGTTCCTTGTATTGACCGCTTGAAGCTGATCATTCTTCATCCAAAAAGGGATTCATTTATATGTGACATATAACTGAAGGAATATACAGAAATACATTAAACTGGTTTAAAGTGGCATAACGACAGTTATAAAAATTGGAGTCACAACATAAACGCTTCACAACGTAAACGTGAACTTCAGTATTTCGTGTTTAGAACGGAAAATTTGAAAATACAGGTAGGACGTATCTACGGGAATGATTATACTCAGGTATACTTTGCTGGCACTTTTTGTTTCAATGAACAGGAAAACATGTATGTATGCTATGAATATTTTTGCTCCAAGTATTTGCTCGAAAAGTGTATCAGAAAATATATTCTAGAATTACTAATGACTTTCCGTATCCATCTCTATGAATATATTCTGTTCATGCAGGAAGTATAAGTGGTATTATAACTTTTTGTGATTTAGAAGTGTTTTCAATGAAACACATATACGTAGCTGCGTATGTTTCATAAACATGTTTATTAAATATATTTGTGTTAATCATGTCCGTCGACACTTGCGTCTAACTTCAAATATTTCATCCTAAACGTGAACACTGAAGTTGAACATGTGACTTTGCCGAGGGTGAATAAGTAGTTTTATCCTATGCCAAGTAGAGTTTTAGGGAGATAAGTTGATAAGATATATCCCGTATCCTGATTTTGAGGTTTCCATATCCAGAACCTCCATATCTCCCGCCATATCTCCCGCTTCGGTGCATATCTCCCCGCTTCCGGTAATTTCACGTTACATTTTTTTTTTTTAATTAAATCTTTTTTCAAATTTGTTTTTTTCAAAAAAAAAATTCTTTGTCAACATTTTTTTCACATTTTTTTAAATTTCTTTTTTATTTTAAATTTTTTTTTTACAATATAAATAAAATGACTTAGCTTATTAATGATTTGTTTATTTTTACACCTTGTACTATTGAAATGGCCATATGCCCCTGAAAACTCTACTTGGTATAGGATAAAGCAGTTATGTACGGTCGGTTTGGATATTGGGTTCATCCCTCGTGAGATATATACATCTACCTTCGGTCCCTACGGTCCATCAGGTAGATATGCATATCTCCCTCTGGATAAACCCCATATCCAAAACCTCCCAGTACATAACCCTTATATATGCACCCGCAACGCGTTAAAGTCCCCGTGTAACGTTTGAAAATATGTTTTTTATTATCCACTTACTATAAGAAATTTTTGAAAGAAATGGAGAAAATGTTGTCATTTTTTCAAATATTCAAAATTCCCGCCATTTCCAAAAAACATGGGTGTGTAAAATTTAAAAAGTCCTTCAAAATTCACTTTTTGAAATAAAAAAAAAAGCTTTCACATATCACACTTTGATAACATTGGGTAAGACTACAATATAATTCAAAGTGGTTTAAACTTTATATGGGGGCTTTAAACGTTTTCGTGTGCAACCTGTTAATTTGAATACAACTCGATTATCTTATAACAAAGGGAAGGAGAAAAACTGAAAAATAAGAAAACTTGCACGGCTGTATAACAAAGTCAAAATGGCCGATGTCGATGTCGACGGAGTGATAGTTCTGGTTGTTTTCTATTTGATTGTACTGGTGACTGGAATAGTAGCAGGGAGATGTTTCAAAGCCCCCGGAGCATCAGAGACAGAGCTGTCAATGGTGGCAGGAAGGAAGCTGGGACTGGGAGTTGGGATTTTAACAATGTCGGGTATGACGTGTAGCGCTGAATAATATCTGAAAATGTTACAAGATACATGCATTTCAATTTAGATCGTAATGGACAAATGAAAGATGATTTAATTTCTTAAAAATGAGACCAAAAAGTAAATGCCTTTCTGATGTTTTTTGTGCAGCCTTTGAAAACTACATCTAAAATGTCACATTAATGAATATTATTGTGATCTAATTTGCGACTGGTTGCCATGATTGTGATCTATATTGCGATTGGCTCCCATGATTGTGATCTATATTGCGACTGGTTGCCATGATTGTGATCAATACTGCGACTGGTTGCCATGATTGTGATAAATATTTCGACTGGTTGCCATGATTGTGATCTACATTTCGACTGGTTGCAATGATTGTGATCTTTATTGCGACTGGTTGCCATGATTGTGATCTTTATTGCATTGCGACTGGTTGCCATGATTGTGATCTTTATTGCGACTGGTTGCCATGACTGTGATGTACATTACGACTGGTTGCCATGATTGTGATCTATATTGCGACTGGTTGCCATGATTGTGATCTATATTGCGACGAGTTGCCATGATTGTGATCTACATTGCGACTAGTTGCCATGATTGTGATATATATTGCGACTGGTTGCCATGATTGTGATCTACATTGCGACTGGTTGCCATGATTGTGATCTATATTGCGATGTTTTCCAAATGTTCTTAAAGTATGTAAACAGGAGACTTAAATTAGTGAATAATATAATAATATATTTTTTCCTTTATTAAGCATCATTCGTCGGAGGAGGGTACTTAAATGGCCTTGCTGAGGGAATGGCCTTAGGTGGAATAGCGTGGACCACACCTCCCCTTGGGATCATGTTTGGACTTTTTCTTTGTAAGTCATATTACATACAGGGTTTTTCTTAAATAAATGCGTTCCCGATTGTGTAGTTTGACCCTTCTGCACATTCATATTTGTTCTATGGGAGGTAAAGGTTATCCATATAAGCAGGTCTGTAGTTCATAACTCCTAGAACACTAACAAAAATTGACTTCATCTTGGAAAAAGCAAACCAGAGGGACTTTCAACTTTGATGATACTTAATATTGGTTTAGTTGCAATTTACCTTATATGAAAAACTGCTGGCGTTAAACAGGTCCCTGATTTTGAATTGAATGATGTCAAACAGAGACATAAAAAAGATTTCTGTGTCATGTCGACAATAAAGGGCACTAAAATGCTACAATCGATTTGTTCAGTAAGAAGTTAGTTTACCTGGTGTTGAATCGTATTCAAAATTGAATTGATGCAAAAAATACTTTGCTGTTAAAAGCCTGGGGTATTGGAATGTAGTACTTAATTTATTAAGTACTACATTCGAATATCTTGTATAAAAAATTACATTTTCTAAGTTATATAAATTATGTTTTTTTGTCCCTGTATTTTGACACCAATTGAGTTTTCTTCACACAGTCCACTAAATATACACAAATGACATGCACTAGGCTCATTTTAAACATGTCATATACAATCATGTACTCAAGTTTGTCTCAAAAAATGTTACACTTACACAAAGTTCAATATCTTTCTAGTTTTTGACTTTTCCCCTAAAATATACTTTGGATACCAAAAGACAAACCTTTCTCGAATAATTTGATACCATCACATTCAAAATCTGTCTTTGATTGGGTTTTAGTGTCCCATGGTAAAATCTGACTTGCGCCAACTTCTAAGTGATTGGATGGACCAAATGACAAAAGAGGAACAGTTTCTTTAACATGTAACTTTCTTCTGAGTAGAAGCTTGACCTTAAACGCAGTCAGTCTGTAATTTTCCTATTTGTCTCACATATGATCATTGGCCATGGGTCTATCCGCATAAACACGTGGTCGCCTCTACATTTTCTCCAAAGCAAATCTGAGGTACCCTTGCCCAGGCGCACATGCATTGCAATATCACACTGATTCCATCAATTATTTTTGCAGAAGTTCATTTCGGTCAGTTTGTGATGCTGTAAAGCGCTTTCAGAATCCCTTTCCAAAAATCAAGGGTGTAAAGTGGGATGAACCTTGGGGCCAATCCATTGGGTAATTCAATGCTATCTTCTGATTTCCAAAAGAGTTCTATCAAACGATCTGCTACAGGCCTTTGTACCACCCTGTTGCCATCATACGTAACAACATTGGACACTATGACAATGAAATCTTGTATTTCTATCCAGGAAAGAAACACCTGGATCATTGATCATAACAAGATATCACTGTCCACAGCACAAGAATTGATCACTACATGTCCAACCACTGAGAAGTTGGCGCAAATCAGATTTCACATGCGTCTATAAAATCTGTCCTATACAGCCAATCATGGACGGATTTTGAATCTGATGGTGTGGATTTATTCGAGAAAGACTGGTCTTTTGGTATCTAAGTATATTTTAGGAATTAATGAAGAATCATGAAATATATTGAACTTTTTGTAAGTGTAACATTTTTTGAGACACACTGTATTCATGAAATTCTTTGATGATTTACTTCTATTTCAGCTGCCTTTGTATTCGGAGGTCCAATGCGCCAACGAAAATACTTAACATTTTTCGATCCATTCCAAGAAAAATATGGCAAGGAAGTGACTGCGTTTCTCTTCCTGGCACATTTGTTAGGAACGAATTTCTATATGGCTGCTATACTGTCTGCCTTGGGTTTGTACATGTTTGTCATTTAGACTTTAAAAACGCAGTGAGGAGGCATGGCAATAAATGTATGTATGAAGCCCTTTTAATGAAGGATGGCACTGGCGGATCTGGGGGGACAGGGTCCGGGGCCTTTATGGACATTACTGAGCCTTTAAGTCTAATTTTAGGCTAAATAATCCTTATTTTTTTAATTTGGGCCCACTTTTTTGAAAAAAAATCCGCGCGAGACTTAAAATATGCCCCCCCCCCCCCCAGCTCTCCTGTTAGTTTCCAGATCCGTCTCTGGATGGTTTTTATGAATATAATACTAATACTATTCATGTGTTAGACAGATAAGCGCCGTCTAGAGGTAACTAGAAAACTGGTGCTGCCATCTTTTATTCAGCTCTTAATTTGGGCCAGACTGCCATTCACGTACATGTTAAAATATTGTAGTGACTTAATTTTATGATTTATCAAAAATTGATTCAGTATAAAACGTGAATGACATACGATATGATGACCCAGTTAATGTACATATTGTGATCAATCATCAAAAAGTTGGTTGTTTAACTGATAAACCAAGCTATTTAGAGAATTTAAGCATTGCATCAATGGAGATTTGGCCCAAGTTTTTTTCAGAAAGCCATGGAAAATGATTTAAAAATCATGACTGTATACATCAAAGTTATTCTTGTAGAAAATCCAAATACCCTCTGTAAAGAAAAAAGTGCATGGTCCTTTATCAGTGTAATATGTATGTATCTGTGTAATATTATTAAACTCTTGGAGGCACATGGCGTAGATATTGTGAATGATTTGTGGAAATTTTAAGAAATTAGATGAAAATTTAAAAAAGTTAGCAATGGTTTAAATGTGACCTTTTCCTTTAAATTGCGTCCTAAATTACAATTTGCTATTTACAGTGTAATGCATTTTCCTCTAAGGCTAGGGTATCATTGTATATATATATATTGTATATGTTATATTCTTCATACCATTGTAAAGCCCGTTCCAAACTGGGCATGACCTCTGAATTTGAAGGATATTACCTCAAATGTTATCACAAAACGCTTGTAATTAGTCAGCCTTTCGTTCTATAACTGATATTTTCAAGAAGTTTTATTGGATTGAAAACTTTTTAAAATGGTTATTCTTCTAAACGTAACTATAACAAGTTAACTTCATGCCTCAGAAGATCCCCTTCTTGAGCACATTGTTGGGTATAGGATTATGACGTCGATTTATGGTAAAAAGTCACACTGACAATTTTGGGATTTGTTCTATTCAATCCTCTGTAAATTTATACCATACGATACCATACGATACGATACCATCGTATTTACGAAATTCTCTCCATTTAGTCAAGGTATACATACTAGAGGTGTCACGGTTTCCCGATATTGGACCGAATTTCGGTCCAGATGCTTCGGTTCGGGACACGGGACAGAAAGGGTTAATATCGGTTCGGTATCGGTACATAAATTCCTTCCCTAAAATGCATAAAAACGTGTATAAACAGCGAGGAACACCTCCGATTTCGTTCTGAAAAATTAAATATTTTCACTTACCTCGTACCTAGATTACACTTCTTTGCATAGAAAAGTGTAATTAACGGACCCGCGATTTCAGGTAGATGGTAATGCTTGTTCGTAAATTTCTTCACCGTCGTTCACAAATCGAGTGCATTATCAGTATGCGGGATGAAGGAAAGAAATTGATAAATCGAGCCTGCATCTACTAAGTCGAAAAAGTCGGCAGTTTGGAAGTATTTTGGGACTCCGATATCACAAGGTATACCAATTGGTCATAGTTCACCGTGCAGACTATGTGAAATGCCGATCACATTCGCGGCAGATGCTTTATATTCGATTTTAATTGACGTTTTTTATTTCTGAATGTGATTTTGAAAAGTGAAACTGAAAGTGAAACTCATCATCAGACATTGCATCATTTTTAATGTTCTGTCCCGTCCCGTCCCGAAAGTACCGTGTCCCGAGACCATTTGTACCGTTCCGTACCGTACCGAAATTATTTTGGACCGTGACACCTCTAATACATACATTATACATGTACCTCTGAAGCTATATCGAAACTGGTATTTTCGATGGACCAGCCTTACCAGCCAGACAATACTAACCTAGAACATCTCAAGTCATGTAAAGAATGTTTGAATATTACTATTCTAGTATTTCTTTCCAGGATCAAGTCTGAGTGTTATAATAGGTTTAGATAGGGTGGTATCCATCATCATATCGGCCGTCATTGCAGTGTTTTATACAATGGTGGGGATGATGGTCGCTGTAGCCTACACAGACATCATTGAACTAATCCTTATTGTCATTGGCATGGTAAGCATTTTTATTGGCAGTATATATATAGCCTTGCATAAGGAAGTGGTCTGACTTTTCACCGGTGCTCACATCTTCAGCGTTGGCCGTGATTTAAATAAATTATGTTCATGGGTACGAAAGAATATGATAGTATTATAGGAGCTACTCGCTTCTTCTGAAGGTGAGTATTAGCACTTCATAGCAAGTACAAATTGCATTTCTAATAGTTACACTTTTTATTATTCCAGGGAATCGCAATTCCATTCGCTGCAACCAATGAACATGTCCACCTTAGCACCGCGCAGGAGAAATGGTTAGGAAACATCGAAACGGTTCAAATAGGAAAATGGATAGACTTCCTTGTATTATCGGTAATTTCACAACATTCTAAAACATCAAACGAATCAAACATGCGCTTTTCATGGAGTTTGGAGGAGTAATTTTCCTTCTCATTCATTTCAATAAGGCGCCATCTATTAATAACGTCTTTAATAAAGTGTGCAAATCCTTATCTCGTTTAGACATAGTTATTGGTAAGAGATGATATTGATACTTGGCATGAAGTCATATTACTTTCCAAGATACCTCAGAAATACCGATGAGGTATCTTAAGGGGAAAATTATTTTTATTTCCGATGAAAAGAACAATTGATCGATAAAACAAGCATTTCTACACGCATATTTTTTGCGAAACGCCAAATTTCAGAAGAGCGAAATCTCCCTATCATCATAATTACAGAGTAGCTAAATATTTTACCGTGGAAGATAATGTCAATATTAATTCCACTGGACCAGGGAATTCTCGGCGATATTGATAATGATTTGATTTCAAAAACAACATTCATCTCCTTTCAACTTTCTAGTTTCTTGGCTCCATACCATGGCAGGGACAATTTCAAAGATTTTTATCTGCGCGGTCTGCTAGAGATGCTCGTATAATTGGCGTTGTTGGGGGAATAGTGACGTTCATCCTGGCCATAGCGCCACTCAGTATTGGCGCAATTGGAGTATCAACCGGTCAGTGAAGATTTATTTACGAATATCTTTTTCCACGGTATTCAATCATTGAGTTATGAATTATGAAAATGATTCTACTTTAGCACATAGACACTCTATTCGGCAGTTGCTATGGCAACCCTTGTTATAGTTCAGCGGAGTATTGTTTTTTTTTCAAGTTGTAAAACTAGTTTACTATGTATGCAACTTATTATGAAAAACAAATATGTCATTCGTTTCGTAATCATCTGGACTATTTCAGACTGGATGAATACGACTTACAAAAAAGATCCATTTCAAGCAAGGGAAACATCTCTGATGCTTCCATTAGTGATGTATCATCTCACACCAAGACCAGTTGCAATCATTGGTGAGTAATGTCTTCTTTGTCGGCCCCGCCACGGACCTCTGCCAGATTACCTCCTCTGTGTCTAGGCTCAATAAATATTAATCCTTTGAGCCTACTACCAATAGGGGATGGATCTGGCTCCGTATCGGTGGGCCCCGCTAGTGATGTATCACCTCACACCAAGACCAGTTGCAATCATTGATACTGTCTTCCTTGTTGCTTCCAATAGTGATGCATAACGATCACACCGAGAACTCAGAATTGTTACAATCAGAGGCTAGAATGTATGATCTCAACAAACAAACTGTGGTCTTACGGTAGAGTGTTATTTGATCCCTACCTGTACATGTATATGTGTGTGGGCCCCGAATCAGTGCCACCGGTTAACGACAGTGAATATAAACTCATCAATTTGTGATTCCTAGCGTTGTGTGGTATAGCAGCAGCAGTGATGTCTTCACTCGACTCTTCACTATTGGGTTCCAGTGCTTTGTTCTGCCACAACATCTACAGAGGCCTTATAAGAAAAAAGGTATGTTTCATGTAAAAAGTGTAGGATATGCAATGGCGGATCCAGAAGCTAGCAAGGGGGGTTCAAACGTCTGGCAAATAATTCCGGGGCCCACCCATGGGGCCGGCCCCATTCCCTCTGTGATACGCATTTTATAATAACTTGTGTCCGAAAAAATGTTTGTCAACTTAAATTAATTAACGAAATTGTTAGATTCCTATCGTTGAAAAACTGCACTGCTTACGTATCCCTGTGTTTTAGGCCTCCGAACGAGAATTTATGTGGGCTCAACGAATTACCATAGTCGTTCTCGGGATACTGGCCTCAATCACCGCTATCTACGCTGACACCATTTATGGTCTGGTGCTTTTTGGGTCCGAATTTGGTTTAGTTATGGTATTCCCACATTTGGTCTGCAGCATGTACATTCCCGTGTCCAACGGATATGGTGCCCTGATTGGCTCTTCGTTATCTCTCATTTTACGTATTGGTGGAGGAGATGAGTTGATGAACCTGGCACCGTTTATTCCGTATCCACCATACGATCACAAAACACAACTTTTTCCCGTTCGTATACTTTGTGTACTCGTCGCCATCGTGACAACTGTTGTGATTTCAGTAGTGACAAGGTGTCTATTTCAAAATGGTATAATCTCCAAGCAATTTGATGTGTTGAACCAATTCCCAGACAAAGACAACGCAACAGATACAAACGAACTGGAATCGAAAAAAGAAATGGAAATTCGTGGCATTAGTGCCATAAGCGATCGTGACAGTTACTATTATGACAACCCTATAGCTATATCAGATGACACAAAGTAATACCATAACCCATTACGAAATAGATTAAAACATTTTTGAATCTCCATATTATGTAATTGTAACATATCAGCCGATGAACAGTGAGGTCCAACTTAAATGAGGCATGTGTCAAACCGGATGTGAAACAATTGGAAATGGATGACTACTTCAGATCGTGAAGTAACATTCACTTCTAAGATTTGAGATTTAATGGAATAGTGGAACTCTATAGTGTCTTTATAATAAATATTTACAATGAAATAAACATAAACATAAACCATATATAAATAGTTAAATATCACAGTCGGTATGCATCATGTAACTTGGCATCACTTTTCTTGTGGTTCCATTTATATTTGAGCTAAATGTAAAAGCTGAAAAGGGAATTTCTTGCTCTCTAACGTTGATACCGATTTCGTCTCCTCACACTTACTCCAACTATAGGCAGGCGCCTGACTTGCCCATATCCAAATGTCCCCTCCTCTGTGCTTATAATATACTTATATAATCCCCTCTGTGGGCGACATGGGAATTACATTGCTTTATATATACCTATTTACTGAAGATAAATAAACTGAAATAAATATATAAATATATAAATATTTAATCATATGCCTCCATTTTTCACCCCTTCCCTCAATATTCGAATTATATTGGGAAAATTTGAATTAATGGAACCGGAAATGAAACCAATGTATATTCTTAATAGTGTATTCTTGCTGGTAACACTCCTAGTGCAATAGGATTGTCAAACGTTGGTGTTTCAGGGGGGGGGGTGTATGCGTTACAGATACGGGGGGATACTGTGGTAGGTCATCTGCTAGTGATTCGTATACGTTCATGACATAGGTTAGTTTACTACGCTGCAACAAATTATTCAACGATATCAAAGTAATCAACTCATACTTCTGTGACACAAGGCAACAATTAAGTAAGCTGATAATGCCCTGGCAATTCTTTGGCTAACTCTTCGCATTTATAAATTAGTTGCAAGTAAAACTAGATTAAACTCGTAAAATTATTTCCCATAGGATAGAAATAAAAGATATCATAGCCTTTGATGCGTAAAATGAGATTTTGAGAGAGACTATACTTTGAAACACATTGTTTCTTCGATTCCTTAGGGATAACTGATGTTTTCGGTAATAGGCAATTTGAAGATCGATAGGAAGTGTCTGGGTTATTTGACAGTTAGGGGTAAATAATAGCATCCAAGTTGCATTATATACGACCTTAAGGAAATCAACACGACCGCTTTAATATTCAACAATTCATAACTTTCTCGAGGAAATGTGCCAATGTTCAACCATGGACTATAGCTATGGTTCAAGATATCTATATGTAGCTAAGACACTGGTGTATAATAAATGAACTAAAAATACACAACAAGTCACAAGCTATGATATTCTAGATATAAAGGGAATAATGAAAAATAGAATTAAAAGAAAAGTAAAAGCCCCCTCGCGTTACAGAGTAAACCAATAATGTTGTCTGATCAATTTGAATTCGAAGAGTGGTGCTAACTTCACTACACCCTGTAAGATGTGTATGTGCCGAGGACACAAATGAATATAAAAAAATGCCCAGGACCCTAATTTGGGTTGCCAATCTGTTAATGACTACAATATATATGCGATTGCATGAATCTCGTGGGATTACTTTGAACTATACAGGGAGCAATGTAACAATCTGCTTTGTCCTGATGCAATCGAAATGAATCTATTCGTTTTATGGGGTAAAAACTAATTTCCGGGAGTGTCAACTTTCGCTAATCGACAACAGGAATAACCATTAGTTGTTGCAGCTCCCCAATGATGTGAAATATACGATGCGTGGTACCATACTCCATACCATACACCAACATGAACAATCATATCTGTTGTACCTATGGTGTGAAGACACTCAGTATTAGGTTTCACGTATTGTACGCTGGAATGCTACAACAGGGACCTGTTTCGCAACGGGTTCCAGAAAAGATTGGCTGACTCTGCAACTCTTCTGGGATTGGTTCATTGTTTATTCTCCGATCTAAAAACAAGATAATATGAGCGCTTCGTGATTTTCAAAGAGAATTTTTTTGTTTTTTAACCTTTTGATTATCATTATTTTATTTTATTTACTTGTAAAACAAGAACGCATGCATTTTTGATTTAATTTATGAAGTACTAAATTCTAATTAAAAACACGGATGAAATTGGACACCACTCCAGGTTACAAATAAGTCATCCTCCTTAGAAGCAGGTGTCCAGAATCCGTACCTCCTTCTTCCCTAAAGAAAGAAGATATTCTGGATTTTGAAGCCCTGTGATCGGAGGATGCAAATAAGTATAATGTCGATGATTTATCAAGACATTAGTTAGAGTGCTCTTCATAAAATTCCTAAATTATTATTCCCCGACGAGACTCAATGTGGCGATGCATTGCAAAGATGCATAGGCCTAGATCTACTGGTGGATAGAACGTCCCACTTTGCTTCAGGTTGTCTCGTTTTACCAATCAATTACAATGACATTTGAACATAGCTCCTACATCAAATATTTTTTAGGCATTTTCCTGAAGCTTATTGGCTTTCCTTAAAACTTGAAACAGCTGGTTTAAAAGCTGGTATGTTACAGTGGTAAAAATGATGAGATTGGTTAATTTAATTAAAGTGTATGTTTCATGTCACTGCTAAACGTGCGAGCTACAAGAATTGCGTTAACATCATGCAATCCACCCATTGTCGCAGAATTGATAAAAACTAGAACCAACTGAAAATAACTAACCCATTCAGTGGTAGCAGCGAATTCTAAGATATACAGTATAGTATATAGAGGAAAAATTGGATATGATAGTACACTGAGAGGAAAGAATGAATGATTTCCCCTTGATAGACTAGGAATTGGAAACATCTGACGCATCCATTAGCGACAATGACTTCAAATTTAGAGAGGACGAATCGGATTTTTTTATGTATATTTAGCAGTGGGAATGATATTATTAAGAGAAATTGAAGAAAACATTTAGCGCATCGGGAGACATCTAACGACTATAGCAGCAAGAACGACTTGTATTTACAAAGATTAAGAAAAATTGGAAAACGTCTAACGTTTACAGCATTCTGATACTCATAGCATCTTTCTGTTTCACCTCAGGGCTGAGAAGAAATGAGATGTCATGGTATATCATGATGCGTCTACAGCAGTAAGAGCGATCTCTAACAGGAGGAATTTGAAAACGTCTAATGCCTAGCTTGTACGACTTGTAATATATAAAGGTGGAATTTGAGTCAATATTACGCCCTAATGCAACAAGTGTCAAATAGTTTCAATAGTTTTACACCATGTCAAAAACTGCAAGGAAAGTCACTATTAATAAATTTGTTGAATCGAATAAAAAAAGTCCTGGTAACAAAAGGATTAAGGCTGCGTATGTCCTGGTTGCTAAAGCGATGAGTTTCACACTCGATTGGAGCCGTTGGCCGATAGTGTATATGCTCGTGGCTAACTAGCTTTTCAGTAACCGGAGGTAACTATGAACATACGGGTTATTATAAAGTATTGGGATACAACTCAACCTCCTTTTTAGTAAAAATGATGAAAAAACTTACCTTACCTTAACATATTTTTCTTTGGCGGATGTTCGTTCATCCATATTGTTATAAGGACGTCATGGCTTTGTACCTATTAATTAGTCAGTCATTTGCTTCAAAGGACTCTTCAATGAAGTCATCGCAAGACATATCTATTAAACGTTACAAAGCATATCACATGCTTTATTGAAATGTAGACGGATCTTCGTTAGAACATCAACAATTTTAATCTTGGTTTACCTTGTTTGAGTCGAGATATTTAAAACGACAGGAAACATTTCTTTAAGAAATTAGTAATCATTTTCGAATTGAAATATGTACAAATTGTATGTATATTAAAAAAATATTCCGTGACGATATTGTCTTTGAATGTGGTTGTGCCAACAACTTGAATATAGTATATGAGGTAGAATTCCACTCTGACTGATTGTGGTATCACATATCCTCAAAGATCAGTACCATTAGCACTGGTGATCACCAGTGATTAGTTTAATCACCAGTGATTACACTAACTCCTAATCTCGATTCCTAAAGTGACCCACCCTCCAACTCTGATTCTAAAATACCGCAAACTAAAAGATGAACCATAAACAGACACCAATAATATTCACCGAAAATGAGGTTTGTTTGCACGGTGCATGTAACAGCAGCCAATATATGCACTCATCAGAATCACATTCAAATTCGGATATTGTACACTTTTATAATTCAACCGATGATGCTCGGATTTAACAATTAATGAAATAGTAGAAGATCAAATAAGAACAAAACTATAGCCACGATGTCTCTAGTGTTGCATGCTTTGTGTATTAACATGGCAAAGCAACGTGTGAGGGATATACGTTTTATCTGGAATCATTGATCCCAAGTGATTCATAAATATTGCATTACCTTAATTGGAATGGAAATTGTCCATTCTTGTATAGTTCATTAAATATGAACCGATGCTAACAGCTATGATATACAGGGTGTGTATATCGTATACAATCATAGAGTCTTGCATCAAGCAGTTGAAATTAAACTAATTTCCAACCACACTCACTCTTCATCTTTTTAATGGATGGGAAGCAGATATGGCCCAGGGGGTTCCCGAGAAGCTGAGACTCGATACAGGACTATAAGGTCCAGAATGTGATTGAAGTAACAACGCATAGACTTATCTATAGCTAATGAAACGTTTCTCAATTGGTTTTCAATAAAGGCACAATTCGAATTCATTTAAATTTGAGCGAGTATTATGCAAAAAATAATTTTTCGGGCATCCAATTTTCGGGAAAATATTTTATTAATATGCTTTCGTAAATTTGCGTCTCATTGTTCGTAAACTGATAATATTCATTGACATTTTCAAAGCTTTTAAATGGTTTACTTGCAAATGTGATCAATTTACCACTCGCCAATATAAAATACAATGAGTACGTAATTATTATTATCTGGAGTCATTTTGTTAGTAATACCTTGGATGAAGAAACATCCGAGTTAATATGTAAGCTTATAATTCTTATTAGATATAATCCTTTTTGATGCGTACTTAGCAAATACTAAAATGTCAATTGAGACAACATTTAAAGCAAACATAAGTTTGGACAGATTTTTGATCATTTTGCCTGGTTCCAAAGTTAGATCATTTATGTTTATTTGTTAGATAATAATATCACAAATATAGAAATGAAGGAAGATTAGTGAACGGGAACATAGGAGACGCTTAAGCCGATTTGACCAGGGAACGAGATGGATCACATGGTAGTCATGGAAACTGAACTGAAATGTCAGTCGTCAGATCGTCTGAGATTTTAATATCACTTTTGAACAAAGATTGTTCATCAGTTAACGCAAATGGCCTTTAATGCACTACACCTCATACACAGTAATCGACTCTATTTACATTGAGCTAACGCCGGGGTCGGCAATCTAATAATACGTCACCATTAAAGATAATCCGCATCAATAAACTAACGATTAAATTACATTAGTAGAAGAATTAAGGGTAATTGGACACATAAAGGCTGTTCTATTATTTCAACGAATTTGTCTGTTGCGACGTAATCACATTAGGGCATGGCTTTAGTAATGGAAGATTTATCATAAGAAACAGAGATAACTAGTTTCTCCTTTTAGTTCACCTTTTGTACATCACACCTTTTCATCATTCCTACTAATAATGATGATTTTTGAAATCATGGCGATTTTTATCTTGCATCATGAGTAGACTTTGACTAAACCTTTTTCTGTAAACAAAAATGTTTGGAAAAGTATAAACATGATAATGATTATCAAAGAGAATTATGAGATTGACTCAGTCACTTCTTTGAATTTAGAATTTCCCATAATATAATGCGTTTTTCGAGCATTTCTATTTTCAGGCGAATGTCTATAATTCAATACACTCTTTTGTATAAGTATGCATGTCAGGGGCGTAGCCAGCTTTCAGTCAGGGGGGGGGCTTGCGATCGCCATTTTTTCGCTTTTCAATCAGGGCGGTGCGATCGTGGGATAACCAAGGCAAAAATTTCTTCCTTCAAAATTGAGAGCTTTAAATAAAAAGCATTTCAAGCTCTTTTTCTATTTTTGATAAAAAAAATTCTAAGGATTTGTACCATCCAAACATTAAAATATCATCTTTGGGAAAAAATATTTTTAGATTATTATTTTGAAAAATGGAAGTATTTAATTAAAGCGTTTATATCATCGTTATTTGATGTTTATGAATAATTTCAATTGTTTTTGTAGAACCTTATGAAACATGTGTTGGAGGATACAAAGTGACTTTAAAATGATGCGTAATATAAACGTACAATCAAAAGTTAGTTGTATTCGTATCTCTATGTTTATAGACAGAAAAGTGGATGTATGAGTCATTGCCAAACCAGGAAACAATATATTTCACTTTTGCTTTCATATTATGATCATGTTTTAATTTTGTGGGAATAGCGATGCATGTAACCTTTACATTCCTATTCTGGGCCCATAAAAAAGTTTTAGCCAAAAAAGGCCTTCAGGCCTTATTTTTTCAATTTTAGGCCAAATTTGGAAGAAAATGGGCCTCAAAATTTCAGAACTTTTTGGTTTTAGGGCCCCAAATTTTTTTTGCCCCCCCCCCTTGTTGTTTCCCAGATCCGCCCCTGATACATTTCAGGTAAATGTAGTTCCAGCTTCCGATTCCCTCCTATACCATTGAATTTCTTTTATATGATATCAAAAAGATACATTGTTTTAGAAAGCAGATGGCCTCTTGTAATCTCTAAACTTGCATCCGCTAGAAATTAAACGGTTGTTCGGTGATGTAACAAATCTGACTTCGGTAATTAATATTAATACATCGCTCCTCTCATTACTGTGGCCACCTACATATACTAGCAACACTAGCATTCAGTTTACATGCCCGTGGTTTTTATTAAACAAACATGCATCTTGATGAAGGAAACAAAGTTGCTTGTCAGATCTTCAATAAACATTAATTATAAATGTTGTACACCCCCTCAAAAAGTTTGGCAACCATATAGTAAAGATTCGAGAATTTATTGTGTTTAAAACCAAACACTTTGTTTCATCACAAAATCAATTTGAGACATTATAGTACAGTTATATAATAAAATGCATTGCAAATCCAATATGACTATTATACAATCCATTTTTCCTTTTTCAAATGATTATAATGGACCACCTGATGTCTGTGTTTTACAGTAGTATTTACGATCTTTATGTCGATCACCACAACAAGTGGCGTTCGGCGTCTGTAACAAATAGCAGGGGGTGATACATTAAATGTTAATACACTTTTATTTAAGTTGTCATAATTCTCCATTGTAATTTAGAGAGAAATGTTATGACAAAGCTTAAACACACAATCCGATGGGGAAGATGGCCTGCAATCAGTTGGATGTAACTGGAAAAAAAATACAGACATTTCAAAATTGTGTTTGGCCAAAATTAAAGTTCAGTTTTACATCGAATTAATAGTCAGTGTGTCTCCCCTGGCCATGTTAACAGCAGCAATTCTTTTAATGCATTTTAGAACGTACTCATTTTTCCAACGTACTCCAACGTAGGCATGTTTCCAGGATACTTAACTGAACTTCAATTTTGGCCAAACACTAAGTTTTGAAACTCTTCCCCATTTGTGAGTTGAACAATGATACTTGGCAAATTAATGTAACTTAAGATATTATGCTTGAAAATTACATATGATTCAAATTATAGAGGGTCCCATTCTTTCGGCACACCCTGTACACCGTAATTGTACGTATTGTACATATATACTGTAAATATTGTAATTTGAATATAATAACTATGTACTCTCTGATATACTATGGAGGTAATAAAGATACATGAACATAAACAAAGAATGGGAATTTTCATTTACTTAATAGGCACTACTAATGCTTCAATCACATTTGATCTATGGCAACCGTACGGCGGCCGTAGCTATAGTTTCCCAAAATCGAGAGAAATATGCAGCATAAAATATAGGGATTAGCAGTACGATGTAGATTTTCTATATCGATTTTGAAGAGCTACGACCGCCCTACGGTCGCCGTAGAGCAAATGCGACGGCGACCTAACTTATCGAGGCGCAGTGGCGTATGTTCTATTTGTTTTGGTTTGAACTGTATTATTAGTGTTAACGTACACTCATTCTCAAGTGCTGATAGCGAACTCAGATGCTGTATATACAAAGTAATATTGCAGGAGCAAAGTTCAGAATTCTAACAACTTGACTTAACTACACCTCAACTCTCCAACCTATATAGACCTAAATATCTAGTACGGTAGAGTATTTAAATAGTTGCCGGGAGCGTTCGACTTACTTACAACAGTAGAAAAGACATTACTGCGAATCTAACGGTGGCTCGTGAAATTAAAAACAAAACAAACGATAACTAGAATATGTTCGTAATGTTAAAAATGGAGGATGTAAACAAGTCGTTGTATATAAGTTCCAAGAAAGCCTCCTCATAGGAAAGTATACTTAAAATCTGAGATAGTATGAAGTGTGAGGAATGTTTGTAAAAGAGATAATCAGTGGATCATGACGCAAGCTGTGGGTAAGTGAAAGTTAGTTTTAGTGGTGCTTGTCATTATCAACATTAATTAAAATTACCTAATATCGTATCTTATTGAATATATCTATCGTGAACACTTCTCTGTGCTGAACACACCTAATACAGTTAATCGTAACTTATTGAACACTTCTCTGTAGTAAACGCATCTAATACAGTAAATCGTTACTTATTGAACACTTCTCTGTAGTAAACGCATCTAATACAGTAAATCGTTACTTATTGAACACTTCTTTTGTATTAAACGCATCTAATACAGTAAATCGTAACTTATACAACATTTCTCTGTAGTAAACGCATCTAAGACAGTAAATCGTAACTTACTTTTCTTTGTAGAAAACGCATCTATTAGATGCATTTGGTAGCTTATTGAACATTTCTCTGTAGTAAACGCATCTAATACAGTAGATCGTAACTTATTGAACACTTCTTTGTAGTAAACGCATCTAATACAATAAATTCTAACTTATTGAACACTTCTCTGTAGTAAACGCATCTAATACAGTAAATCGTAACTTATTGAACACTTCTCTGTAGTAAACGCATCTAATACAGTAAATCGTAACTTGTTGAACACTCCTCTGTAGTAAACGCATCTAATACAGTAAATGGGAACTCATTGAAAACTTCTTTGTAGTAAACGCATCTAATACAGTAAATCGTAAATTATTGAAAACTTCTTTGTATTATACGCATCTAATACAGTAAATCGTAAATTATTGAACACTTCTCTGTAGTAAACGCATCTAATACAGTAAATCGTAATTTATTGAAGACTTCTTTGTAGTAAACGCATCTGATACAGTAAATCATAACTTATTGAACACTTCTCTGTAGAAAACGCATCTAATACAGTAAATCGTAACTTATTGAACACTTCTCTGTAGAAAACGCATCTAATACAGTAACTCGTAACTTATTGAACACTTCTCTGTAGTAAACTCATCTAATTCAGTAAATCGTAACTTATTGAACACTTCTCTGTAGTAAACGCATCTAATACAGTAAATCGTAACTTATTGAACACTTCTCTGTGGTAAACGCATCTTATACAGTAAATCGTAACTTATTGAACACTTCTCTGTAGTAAACGCATCTAATACAGTAAATGGTAACTTATTGAACACTTCTCTGTAGTAAACGCATCTAATACAGTAAATCGTAACTTATTGAACAGTTCTCTGTAGGAAACGCATCTAATACAAATCGTAACTCATTGAACACTTCTTTGTAGTAAACGCATCTAAAACAGTAAATCGTAACTTATTGAACACTTCTTTGTAGTAAACGCATCTAATACAGTAAATGGTAACTTATTGAACACTACAGTAAATCGTAACTTATTGAACGCTTCTTTGTAGTAAACGCATCTAATACAGTAAATCGTAACTTATTGAACACTTCTCTGTAGTAAACGCATCTAATACAGTAAATGGTAACTTATTGAACACTTCTCTGTAGTAAACGCATCTAATACAGTAAATGGGAACTCATTGAAAACTTCTTTGTAGTAAACGCATCTAATACAGTAAATCGTAAATTATTGAAAACTTCTTTGTATTATACGCATCTAATACAGTAAATCGTAAATTATTGAACACTTCTCTGTAGTAAACGCATCTAATACAGTAAATCGTAATTTATTGAAGACTTCTTTGTAGTAAACGCATCTGATACAGTAAATCATAACTTATTGAACACTTCTCTGTAGAAAACGCATCTAATACAGTAAATCGTAACTTATTGAACACTTCTCTGTAGAAAACGCATCTAATACAGTAACTCGTAACTTATTGAACACTTCTCTGTAGTAAACTCATCTAATTCAGTAAATCGTAACTTATTGAACACTTCTCTGTAGTAAACGCATCTAATACAGTAAATCGTAACTTATTGAACACTTCTCTGTGGTAAACGCATCTTATACAGTAAATCGTAACTTATTGAACACTTCTCTGTAGTAAACGCATCTAATACAGTAAATGGTAACTTATTGAACACTTCTCTGTAGTAAACGCATCTAATACAGTAAATCGTAACTTATTGAACAGTTCTCTGTAGGAAACGCATCTAATACAAATCGTAACTCATTGAACACTTCTTTGTAGTAAACGCATCTAAAACAGTAAATCGTAACTTATTGAACACTTCTTTGTAGTAAACGCATCTAATACAGTAAATGGTAACTTATTGAACACTACAGTAAATCGTAACTTATTGAACGCTTCTTTGTAGTAAACGCATCTAATACAGTAAATCGTAACTTATTGAACACTTCTCTGTAGTAAACGCATCTAATACAGTAAATGGTAACTTATTGAACACTTCTCTGTAGTAAACGCATCTAATACAAATCGTAACTCATTGAACACTTCTTTGTAGTAAACGCATCTAAAACAGTAAATCGTAACTTATTGAACACTTCTTTGTAGTAAATGCATCTAATACAGTAAATCGTAACTTATTGAACACTTCTTTGTAGTAAATGCATCTAATACAGTAAATCGTAACTTATTGAACACTTCTTTGTAGTAAATGCATCTAATACAGTAAAGCATTCGCTTATTTCTCAGATATCTATGACGTTGTCATGACTGTCTGTGTCAGAGCATGGTGATGAAATAACGATTCGCTTAAACATAGCTTCATATTTCTTACGTTTCAAAATCTCTCTAACTTGGTTTGAAAAATGTCGTCCCAACTGAACAAAACAAGAAGCTTTGTTAGGCTGCGATACTACATTATTTTGGTGAGCGGGATTGGGCGGGACAATACGATTTTTTCAATATCATAAATATTCCAAAGTGTTATTCAGCGCCGAAGTAGTAGTATCATGGGTAAAGTAAAGATCTTGACTCTCAAAACGTTTGCTATTGTAAGTGATGTCTTGATATTTCTGACAGTATAAGGATGATTGCACTAAAATGTTATATATATATAGCACAAAGCAAATGTTAAGAAGTTAATCATTTGACATTCATATAATAAAACATAATTCTCGCTATCATGGAAACGACATTTACGATCGCAAGTGCCCGTAATACGTTCACTTAGCTTTCCTTTTATATACCTGATAATCTGTCTCATACCGTCTTCTGCACTATAAATTAAAGCTATCAATGAAAAATTTCATTATAGGTACACGTTACGACGAGGACACCGTATTGTTTAATATAGGGCACCTTGGTAACAACAATATAGTTGACAATGCAATACGAAGTATGAGGACGTGTGTCATTTTATGATGCTCTAAAAACAATCTGCTATAAGTGGCATGTCTAACGAACTGTTCGTCTACACGTACGTGTCTTGATTAACGTTAGACTATATGAATAGGTTGTATACTCTAATCTCAAAGGTTGCTCCCGGACAGAGAACGAAAGAAATCAGAAATAAAGGATTTTCAGAAAAGTGCACTTTCATGTTACGATAACCTCTGCCACATTTTGTCAATGAAGTTCAAATGTATTTTCTTATCAACTTATATTCTCAGAGGGAGGACCTATACCATGCGCACAGAGTCTAGTTATAAACGATAGACGAAGCTCTCTTTTAAGAAGCGAAGTCGAACGAATCTAAAGGGTAGAGGATCAATGCATCATCGTTGAAATTGCACATAATTATTTATATATATTTCTGACAACCATGCATATATACTGTTTCACACACATTTTAGAAGCAATGGTTCAAAGGGGAAAATATCATGATGTATCCGTTTATATATTTCCCCTTTAAACAATCTGATAAGTGTGATAATTGCGATGAATCAATCAAAGTGCCTCTAGTATAAAGAATGTTAACATATATTTTGCATTTTCACCTTCTTTAGTCATAGTCGTGTTTGATTTTAAAATAATATTTGTCATTTTCAACACGTGTGTACAACAATCCTTTGTTTTATGTAAATTTGCATTGTTGTTTAATGGTCCCGCCTGTTACAGCCAGAATAAGCAAAACCATTAATCAAACTTGAAAGACTACAAATGACAGATCGGTGTTAAACGATCAATAAGAAGACAAAAAACTGATTTTTTAGTTGCCACGCATATATGCACATAGATAAGTTGACCCCACAAGACAATAGCATTTGCCAATCACCGTACACGTACACGTATACTCGATGTACTGTCTACATCGTTACAGATGATAAGTTTAAGAATATCCAGGCGCACCCTGGGTATAGTCTGTCACGTGACTTCATGGATGACGTGTGCGCGAGTGATTCGCATTTTCTTTCGCTTGAGGCTTGTAATCACACTTTTTACATGTTTTAAGATTTTGTATCTCTGTGAAACTTGTCCCGTACCATCAATGTCTGAAGACGATCTAATTCACCAATTATCTCATCCAAGCGTGTCCCGGTTAAAGAGAAATTCGCACTTTTGTGTCTCGCAAAATGACGTGTGCGCGAGTAAATCGAATTTTACGAAGGATGGGTGCGCGAGTCTAAAATATTTTTATTCACTTGAGACAATTCTGCAAGCTAAGGCAGAATACAACTCACGTGACATTTGTTTTTGTCATCTTAAAGTAGTATGTTAAAGAATAGTTTGCTATTTTGTAGATGTTTCGTGTATGGCACATACATGTCTACGTTTAATGACAATAAATGTTTTGAAATAGCTTGTAGGGCTGTCCGGCATTGCAGGTGAATTAAAATTTGAACCAAAAATTGAATTAAATTTTTGGCGGTCTCATAAAACCGGCAGCATATTCATTTATTGACATCCCATACAAGGGGGGGGGGGGGTCAGAGTTGTTATGTGGTTACTCGGCATCCGCCACGATCAGAACCATGTAAGGAATAGTAAGGGGAAGCCCATGATACCAAGTAATATCAAATAATTATAGGAGCTTCTAACTTCTTCCGCATCCTCACCCTTGGTATACGCAGCTGACAAAATGGATCGGTACGGGTCAAAAGCTGGACCGGTACGGGTTAACGGTTTTATTTGAATTTAAAACAGCTATAACTTGCTCAATATTGACTTCTTCGTATCTAAGTTGAAATATATGATCCCTCCGAATGATTTTAAGTACCCCCAAAGTTCACCCGTACAGGTCCAGCTTTTGACCCATACCGGTCCATTTCGTCTTATACCAAGGGTGATCCCACATACTATGTTTTTACAGACTCAGAAATCAATGTTCGCTATAAATGTAGCAATATAATATGAGCTTTCGTGTACTCAGATCCTCCATTTGTAAAAAACAATTGAAGAACAGCATAATAGAAAGTCAAATACAAAATTGATTTGCGCCCAAAATAGTTTGGGTAATGATTCCCGTCACTACCATGCATTTGTCCCCAAAGCAAGGTTCCTGGTGGACAGTGGTAGCAGGCGTACATATTTCCTGCAAAGGGAGAAAGGTATGCTTTTCATATGTTTTTAAATCACCTTGTAACAAAATCAATATTGTGTCTAGCTTGCAGAATTGTTTAAAATGAATATAAATATGTTAGACTCGCGCACCCATCCTTCGTAAAATTCGATTTACTCGCGCACACGTCATTTTGCGAGACACAAAAGTGCGAATTTCTCTTTAACCGGGACACGCTTGGATGAGATATTTGGTGAATTAGATCGTCTTCAGACATTGATGGTACGGGACAAGTTTCACAGAGATACAAAATCTTAAAACATGTAAAAAGTGTGATTACAAACCTCAAGCGAAAGAAAATGCGAATCACTCGCGCACACGTCATCCATGAAGTCACGTGACAGACTATACCCAGGGTGAGGCGGTTGAGATATATTCATATTGTACATTCTTTCACAAAATGATAAAATTTTGGTAAAGGCTAGTCCTGCTTGAAGTCTCTGGACCCCTACTCCTATCTACTTGGGGAAGTGTGTAGCGGGGTCACGAGAGTTTGTAGCTAGACTAGGCAAAGGCCCCTATCGGCGGGGTGGTATCCGCAGCTCCTACTCTCACGATTACTAAAAAAGTTAAAGCAGGTTTTGATGAATCAGAATGTCTGCGAATTGTGTGGTTCGATATAAATGTTTACATAATCCTTCGAATTTCATCTCCATTTTAATCAAGTTATAGGCTTAAAACCATCACTATATCAAATATCAGTATATGAGTTAATTCCCCTTGGTCTAATTAGTACAATGTAAATGTGTTATGTCAGCGATTAAGCATTACCAGCGGGAAATGTTGAAATCTAATCCTACTCAAATGTTGCAAAATTTTAAATAATCGTAACTCATCCTTATAACCGTAATAGAAGAATTATATAACACATTTCAAAACAAAATCCTGGACGTGTTATTCTTGGGTCAGTAAAATATTTTATAATAGTCCCAGTGTAGTTTTAAAAATGCATATTTAATACAATCATGATTTAAACCTTTTTTCGAAACACTACCAACTGATGTCGGATTATGAGATACCTAAATCCCTATTGATCTGTGGAACAATAGTACAATAACGTCATTTCTAAGGGCGATATAGTGAAATATTGGACCAAGGGCCGAAGGCCCAAGGTCCAATATTTCACTATATCGCTCGCAGAAATGACGTTATTAGTATTATTACCACCGTTAATGACCAGGACTGAAACAGCAAGAAAATCTTACGCATTGAACGATATTTAATTTCCCGGGGAATATTGCCGATCCAGAATATATTCTAGACCGGTCCATATGGACCACCACTACGTCACACATTTCTCAGGTCGATATAGTAAAATAAACGCCTTCTAAACTAGCACTAAAGCCCCTAGAACTGGCCCGGCAAGGTGGTAATAATAAATGTTAAATAAATAGGTAAAGCAATATATTTATAGTTCTACAAATACGATATTATCAATATCCCAGAACAAGTGATCGACGGGGGCCCCATGTTCTTTACAAGTTCGGACACTTTATAGTACAGTATCAAGCCACAGTGGAAACTAGAATTAGATATCGCCCTCCAATTATCTTTTATAGATTATAATACACAATTTATGAATAATAGAATGGCACTCTTATATTCTAAAACATATGCTCCGGAGTCACAATCAGCTAAATGAAAAAGCCTCATAGATTTTTGCTTTTAGAAAGTGTCATTGATTATTTCTCATTTCAGGTCTCGCTTGTTGAGAAAGGCATTGGAATTATTAGGCATTGAGGTAACCTGGGAATTCAGATAATTCTGTCATCTAGTTTTAAGTGCATCTACAACCGGAGAGCATGCAGTTACTGTATTAAGCAGAACAAAATTGGCATCCATCAGGAACAGTTATGTTCAAGTCAGTGTATCTAACACTTGACAATTACAAAAGGATGTAGAATCGCTACAGAAATGTTGATGTTATATTTGACAGAGCAAGATACGAGTTGCTGTTCCAGCAATGGACAATGAGATGGTCGCATTCTATAAATCAAACTATAAAGTGGAATATTAAAGACAGCTCAAACCAAACAATACCAAAATGGCGACACGATTAGTTTTGGTAGAACTTTTATGCCCAAATAGGAGATGGTTGATGGCCTGGTTATTGATGGTCGTGTGTGGGACGCTGTATATAACGAATCAGTTGGCATCGCAGTACCAGGTATTAGAACACAAGCGTTGGCAACTTGCGCAAATGCAACCACGAGTGATAATAGAGAGAAAGATAAAACACTGTGATCCGCCATGTACAAATATAATCGAGCAGATTCCTCCTGAAGATGTCGAAAAAATTACAGACATTCATCAAGAAGGTGACCCGAATGTCAAAATTGCTCAAATTGACGCTAATGATGAATACAATGATTCGCATCATGATATAGTCGACACAAACTATGGTAGAATAGTTAATATAAAAACAGATGGTAGAATAAATATAACAAAAGGAATTCCTTCAAGGACTAAAAAGCCTGAAACTTCAGATGAAGTCCACATTCCTTCCATCCGCACAATTGGAGCAAATTGTTCCGCAGTATTTCAAGGGGATAACGACGAGCTCCAAAAAGCTGAGAACTATATGAAGTCAAATCCAAAAATTCCAATTCCAGATAAGGCGTATGTGACGCTGGCATCAGACTGTGATAGATTTCGAAAATCAAGAAGTTATATTTTATCAGCACTTACGAAAGAAGAAGAGGAATTCCCTATAGCTTTTAGTATTCTTATGTTTAAAGATATTGAGCAGACAGAGAGACTTTTACGTGCCATTTATAGACCTCAGAACTATTATTGCATTCATATGGATGTAAAATCCAATCCAGACGTAAAGAAGGGAATCACTGCAATTGCTCAATGTTTTGACAATGTTATAATTGCCTCAGAATTAATAGATGTGCAATGGGGGGCATTCACTGTGCTTGAACCAGAACTGAGGTGCATGAAGGACCTTTGGGCTTACAAAAAATGGAAATATTTCATTAACCTCACTGGGCAGGAATTCCCTCTGAGAACCAACTGGGAACTGGTTAAAATTCTGAAGGCCTACAATGGCGCCAATAATTTAGAGGGTACTGTCAAAAGGTAAGTTGAACTATTGATAGATTTCTCTAAACAGTCCGAATAAAACAAGTCAGAAATTGACAAAGAAATGAATCAAACAAAAATTTCACCGTAAGATAAATTTCTGTTGTACAGAATGAAATGGATTTACGAGGTTGATCTTATTGAGATTAAATATGCGCGATGCAAATCTAGTTAGGGCAAGAGATAAAATGATACAACAACTTTATTCAAGGTCAATAAGAAAGAATGACACGAAAATAAATTATTGAGTTTCGATTTCGTGTAAAGAGCAAAATAATATTTTTGTTTAGCAAATACAGGCAGGGTTACTAATGAGGTTTGAACTTTCGTTCTGTTTTAAAGTACTAACACAGTAAGCGAATGATTTAAAGCAAACATTTCCATATGCATGTTATAACAGCCTGGGGTTTCAAGAGTACAGGTTAGAAAATGTTTAAAAATTAGTGTAAAATGGTGTTTTTATGACTGTTTCTCTATGTTGTTGATTTGAGACAAATAAATCCGATATAAAAACAATATTGCAAAAATTATTCATTATGTAACTTAAATCATTTTTGTTTTGATCACCTCTTAAAATATGTTTATGTTTTGCGATATTCACAAAGTTATCAAAGTCCTGGACTAACCGACAAAATGTCCAACCTATTAACCTATAATTTTTGGATAAAGAAAGAGGAATTCCCTATAGCTTTTAGTATTCTTATGTTTAAAGATATTGAGCAGACAGAGAGACTTTTACGTGCCATTTATAGACCTCAGAACTAGGTATAGTAGCGGTGTATGCTTGTAAGAACATATGCTTACATTAATATGTTTTATATGTCTCTGGTTATATATCATTCAAGTAAAATTTTGGAAATTTTTTAATTTAACTACTTTCAGGAGGAATATGGAACGGTTTACCTACGTTCACAACCCAGGACGAACAGACGAAAAGAAAGAACCACCACCTCATGGTATAGTTCCAGTCAAGGGGTCAGTGCACGTCACGGCTTCACGGGATTTCGTAGACTATTTACTGCATAATAAAACAGCCCTAGAGTTTTTGGAATGGGCAAAAACGGCTGGTATTCCAGATGAAAGTTTCTTCTCTTCTCTCAATCACAATCCTCATTTGGGAGTACCAGGATCTTATGCAGGTATTGTTTTCTGTTTTGTTGATAATTGCTAGCTATTGTAAATTGGGATATTGACACGGTGGCCATGGGCGTAGCCAGGCACGAGGCAGACCTCGCCAAAACTGATCATCGAGTGCATTTATTGAACCAACGTAGATTTTTTGTTTTACATGTAAGCAGCATACACAGTGAGCATAGATCGATGTTAAGGCAAAGTAATTTGATACAAAATAAATCATATATAAAGAAATGTCATACATTGTAACAGAGGAGGGATTGTATTATTTTGAATGATTCATTCATAGTCATCAATTTTATAGACGGGGCATCTTGATTCTCAAGGTTTTAGTTGCCCCAACTTCATGTTATAACCACTTGGAATTCGAAGATGTAGACGGGGACTGATAACTAAATTCCCGCACTGTGTCGGCGATGCACTCGTTATGTCCATAGATTATAATCTAATGTATTCATGCCAAAATTGTCTGGCCAAGTTACATGCCTCTTTTCTTCTTTCAGGAGAGCCAGAAACTGACCCCCAAAAATACCCCTTCATCACGCGATTCAAGAACTGGGGAAATTATCCCTTCAACTATCCCTGTAAAGGAGGAAACAGAGTACGAATGATATGTATTTTGTCCCTGGGGGATCTACCTTATCTGAAAACACGGCCAGAATTATTCATGAATAAATTCTACATAGACTATTCTTATCTGGGTTACGACTGTCTCGAGGAATGGTATTTTGAAAGGACGAGAAATGAATATTTAGGAAAGCAAAGTTTCGATGTTGGATTTTATGAAAATCTTTCATTTGTGAAGAATCAGGTGAAAGCATGGTATCAGAACTAGGAAGTGCTTGTAAGATGTTTCATTATCCAATCGAATGAATTTAGTTGAAGAATGGCTATAGAGAAGCTGAAGCTGTCCTTCCATCTGTTCGCTCGATCGGGCGATAACTTGAAATTGGTCGATGGTTTTGGCTCAAATTTTGTATGCTGATACCTGAGATGCTCTACTAAAGAAGATTTTTTCCAATATGGCCGCCATTAAAATACCAATTATCGGTGGCTGGTCTATTAAAAATGGCCACCATTACTACACAATCTGAACATTTTTAGTTAGTTACTTTCTGTTGGGTTATTTGCAGACTTTGCTATGGACCTATACCAATGAGAACTCATGAATATTAATGTGTTATTTGAAATGGGTATTTGATTGATTTGTTCCTCAATTACAATAGGTCAAAAATTGAAAAATTGAATTGTTCGGGGCAAATCAGAAATCAGGATATCTAGTATTCAGTAAAAGATTCAGCTAAAAATATTTTTATATAGAAAATTGAATTGTCTAACTGTTTTGCACACTAAGTTTTTAGTTTACTTGAAGTACTGCTTGATGAATACTAAAGTTACAGAGCTTCAAAGTCATTTTTGAAAATCATTTTTCGCCTCCTGTGTTATTTCAATGGGAGGGGTTTTTTGAAAAACAATTTAGACTTTAAAAACATATAACTTTGTTGAACATGAAGAAAAGTATTATTTTTTGTTAAATAAAGTTAGCAAGTTCAATTGTCTACCTAACTTGTATTTTTGCAAGGACTCGGATGGATGCATATTCTGTCATATGACTTGCGGCAAACCTACCATTTCCCATTGGCTAACATGAGAAGGTCGATTTTCAAAAATTCATCAAATCTATTATCCGTTTTCGACCTATTGTAATTGAGGAAAAAAATTGAGAAAATTTTGAGGTATTGGAAATAAGGTCAAGTTACATTTCCATCAATATTATAATATTTTCATCGCAGGTTAAGTAATTGAAAATTCAAACGTAAGGAGGCTTTACCACGTAGTTCAATGAGGGAGCTAAGGTTGCCCAACGTATGGAGGGGAGTGTAGCTTAATGCTATTACTGATATAAGATAGGTAAATATCCTTTGAATTTAACGTTTTTGAAAGGAGGGCGTACCCCTTTTCAATTCTAATGACATTTCTACTTGTTAAATATTCAATAATGTATATTTGATCAGACATACAAGGGAAATAAGTATGCGTGCTTTTTGAAAAAATGGCTTCCGACATTTTAGAGTATCTATCCTTTCTAAATCCTTTAAGACTGCAACCACTCCTATCCAAAATGCTGAATACGTTTAATTACTGATGAAAGACAAATTTTAGTAACTTTATGTGGTTTAAAAAGGCAATTCCATTATTTGAAAATGTAGATTCATCAAAACACGAGGCCAACAATTATCAAGGTATGATCTTGAAACAAGTTAAACTCACATTTTGATGTGGATTGTACAAGATGTGGATTGTATATAAGATGTGGATTGTATAAGATGTGGATTGTACCACAAGACAAAATCGTATGGAATAAATTGCAATAAGATGGTTATTAAGCTTGTTATTATGGTCTTACTTGTGGTTATTATTGAGTAATGGTACAGGTATCCGATATGGTATTGCAGCTTACACTTAAGTAATGGTACACGTATCCTTGGATTTTAGGCCCGAATACCGAGGTTTATTTTTTTGATTATCGTGTATTATCATTTTGTGTTAATATTAGTTAACCATCTAACTATTGGCTACCCTTTGCATTCGTTTGACTTCACTTCTTAAAATAGAGCTTCGTCTTCGTCTTGTAGTTTAACTACATGTAGACTCTGCACGCAGGGTAACTATTGGCATGATATTGATAACCTTGTTATATTAATATAGCGCATAGGCGTAGCCAGGGGGATGCGATGGGATGCAATGGGATGCGATCGCACCCCCCCCCCCTCCATAACCTATGAAAATAGAACCATTAGATAGAAGAAAAAAGTCTTAAAATGCTTTTTTTGAAGCTTCTAGCTCGATTTTGAACGAAGTTGCACCAATTTTTGTAAAATTCAAAACAAATCTTCAAAAACATTTTTAATGCCACGATCGCATCCCTTCCCCCCCCCCCCCCCCCCCCCCGACTGAAAGCTGGCTACGCCACTGTAACGTGTAATCAATACGCTACATTTTGTATGTTCAATTTGTATACTAAAAACTGTTATTAATCCACAGATTTAGATGAAGACAAGATAAAAATCCGAATCAAGAATGAAAAGGTGTCTAAGTATATAAATCTTAAGGGTAATGCATATTTGAATTAAACAGAGGCGGGTTAATTTATATTGTACTATGAATTACGCTATAATTCAAAATTGCAGCTAAGATGCCTGTTTTATGATACCCTGCGTGCAGAGTCTAGTTAAACTACGTATACACTAAGACGAAGCTCTCTTTTAAGAAGTGAAGTCAAACGAATGCAAAGGGTAGTTTTATGAAAAATATCACGAAAGATGTATTCTAGATATCAGTAGTATTCTCAGAAATTTATTATCCGAAACGGATAACATCTGGCCACTCAGACAAACAATCGCAGACATAGGCTAAGCTTGTTTATTTAACAGTTAGATTTGTTGACTTACCGATCCGTATTTCAATCTCCGGGAAGACGTTCTTTTCACTTTGTATTTGCGTGCAGTGTAATATAAGTTGATACTTTTGTTCAAAAATGTACTTTTAATGGCCATTTTATGCCTTTTATTTTCAAATTATGTTTTGATGTAAGTGTGAAAAGTCAAGAAACGTCAACCCCGACTTTTAATTAAAAAATGTTGGTTAATCACTTATGGCAAATCACAAGGTTGATGATGTCAACGGACCATGATCGTGGAAGGCTATCAATATCAGGTGTATATCGGATAGAAAATAAATATAGCTAATTTTTCGCACTGATATGATGATGACTATTCTGGCGAATCGGGTAGACATTTCTCAGTTTTTTCCGATAATAAAACTATTCATTTCTATCAATTTAACAAACAGGGTCCTTTGAATGCACATTAAAACTATAAAAGTATTTATTGGGCGTACATACTCGTTCTGTCATGTTACTTTCATTTCATTTGCAAGTTGTCCACATATTAATCCAGCGTTTTGTTTAATCAAATTCCCCGCCCCTTGAGGTTTCCGACTGTAAAACTTAATATTTAATACTAACCAATGCATCAGTTAATATTTTCAGAATACAAATTTTCCATTTTTATTTCTCTGATAGATAAAGTCTCATTTTGAATCTGTTCGTGTATTAAAGAGTATGCTTTTATAATGCCGTGGTCACATTTGCTCAGATTTTCAGCACCGGCGCCCGGCCGATGAGTATTTTGTTCAAAATTGTATTCAATTCTGAACAAGATACTCAATCGGCCGGGCGCCGTAATGAAAATCGGAGCAAATGTTACCAAGTCATAACTGATGAAAAATCAAATGAGAACATAAACATGGATAATAGGGGCACTATTACGCTGCGTGCAGAGTCTAATTATAAACTACGAGAAGACGAAACTCTCATTTAAGAAGTGAAGTCGAACAAATGCAAAGGGTAGGGTATTATAGAAGGGGATCATATAAAAGCACGATCTATTTTACAACGCCTTTAAGTTTTGTTGCCCTTTGTGCATTTCAAAAATAAAATATCTTAATCTGATTTGTTCCACCTTTCTTTTCGCTCAGTTCTGCAATATTATGTCCATATGTTGTTTAGGATTATGTCATTTGCGAAATAGCTGTAAGACATTATGAGAATGAATATGGGAGTTTCCACGATAATGTTGTTCACATGATTTTATACACATACCTGCACAACAATCGCTGACAGAAGTCTTAATATTGTCCAATAAAAAATAAGAATCTAACATTTAATGATACAAAAGGATTAATTGCTTAGTTCTCTTTGTTTTAGTCTTTGTTTTCTTAAAGGCCCCATGTAAAGTTTAAACCACTTTGGCTTATATTGTAGTCTTACCCAATGTTATCAAAGTGTGATATGTGAAACTTTTTTTTTTAATTTCAAAAAGTGGTTTTTGAAAGACTTTTTGTTTCAAAATTTGTGAATTTATTTCAAACCAACTTTTAGAGGTCACTCATATCTTCTAACGAGCCACAATTCATACCAATGCATAGCATTCATCCTCCCATGTTTTTGCCGAAAAAATTAAGAAAATCGGTTGATAAACAAGCGAAAAATGAAATTATCAGTGCATGAAAATGGTTCTGAGAAAAGTGCATTTCAAAATTTTAGTTCTCATAGAAACCAATGGTACAACGATATCTAAAACATAATTTATTCTTCCTTTTAACCTGGTTAGACAATCATCATTGGTTTTTTATGAAAGTCTAGCATATTTAGAAAAGATTTACATCGGAAAAAAAATTTCAATTTTTTTCAAAGAGTTTTGGTTACCTTAGTGACATCACTAATGTTTCAAAATATTTTTGATATGCTGAAACATTGAAGTGGCCCATTAAATATGGCATTTTATTATTGGAATAGTGTGTCCTTTGTTCAATCTTTGCATTGGTGTTAAAAAGATAATCTTTTTTGAAATGCATTAAGAAATATTTGATGATTAAGAAATTTCAACTTTTTTTGAAAAATGAATATTTGAGAAATGAAATGCTCACAACTTTTTTTTCAAAAAATGTTTTTTGTTCAAAAATCTCTAATATCACTTTTTAAGTCCTGACAAATAGTAAATGAATGATAAAAAAATATTTTCAAACTTTAGACGGGGACTTTAAATGCGGAAGTGTACCAACATCACCTAGATTACATAAGAGATCATCTAACAGTCTAAAATTGCTTTTAATTGCAAGTTAATGCATTCCGACCAAAATTTGTATACCTGTAATTTGGGGGGGGGCGATGTTACATCACATAACTACAACGTTCATATAGAAATATACAATAAGCATGTCCGTATAAAAGCTAAAATTATAAAAACTCATTTTAAAGTCATTCTGTTCATG